ACAGCCACTGTACTGTATGCATAACATAAACGTCAAATAAACATTACTCTTTCTGATAAAATAATTAAGCTTAGACTAAATTAATGCAATCATGTAATGCCTAAAATTATAAATTATAGCATTGTACGGTAAACATATCTTGATATCTCTTACCAACTGTTGTTCAACCCGAACTTTTTATCAATTAACCGAGACAGCACCTATCAAAGCCTCGCTCCGCCATCTGCCTGACGTCAAGTGACGCTCACAAATAAACTTTACTCAAAACTGAGGGCGTCCTCTTAAAGAAATTATAAATAGCCGCTACATTCCGGCCACAATGAACTTACTCGGTATGGTCATTTAAAATTAATCAAAAGCGGCTCATTTATCAGTACAGTATCTGAGTGCTAGTACATACAACTCCATAATGTGCATTTACAATTACAATGTTTCTTTCATTTTAACACAATGAACTATATATCAATATCTGTAGTAATTAACAATTTAACATGAACTTTAACAAGCAATACATAATAACTGATGTGAACGACACATGCCATGCATGTTTAATCGGTATTTGCCCTTTCTAACAAACATAGTTTGGCCACTGGCCTCATCAGAACCTTAGAGCCTAACCTCACTTCTACTTGACGCACCATACCATCTTTCCCTGGGAAAACGTTTACGACCTCCCTAATGGCCATTGGCCACGTGGTGCGCTATCATCCACGACTAAGACTAAGTCGTTAACCTGTTTCTCTTTGGTGTTGTCCACCTTTGTCTAGTTTGGAGTAGAGGAAGGTACTCCCTACGCCATCTCTTCCAGAATATAGAGGCAAGATATTGCGCCTGCCGCCATCGCCTTTTACCATAGTTGTCCTTCTTATCAAAAACACCTGGTGGTAAGCTAGGACTCTGTTTCATTAGAATTAAGTGGTTTGGGGTAAGTGGTTGACAGTCTCTTGCATCAAGGCTAATTTCTGTTAATGGCCTTGCATTAAGTATTCCTTCCACCTCTGTCATTACAGTTGCTAGAACTTCGTCACAAACGACTTGTTCGCCAAGGAGGTTCTTCAGAATCTTGCGTGTCGACCTTATCAACCGCTCCCAAGCACCGCCCATGTGACTCGCTGTTGGAGGGTTAAAAACCCACTCGATCTCCCTTTCGTGGAGAAAGTTCTCTATTTTCCGCTGCTTCAGTATTTTAAGATTCTCTCTAAGTTCTCTATCCGCACCATGGAAGTTTGTACCATTATCGCTATATATTTTCTCGGGGTTGCCCCTTCTGGCGATAAACCTTCTCAGAGCATTTAGAAATGAATCTGTGTCCAACGAGTTAGC